ATAGTTGAGGTATACCTATGATGAAAATTACAGGCCTCTCTCATCTTTTTAAGTGGGAGAACTTGCACAATTGGTGGCTGACTAAATACTTTTTTGCCCCACTTTATTTGTATGCTTTATTTGTTTTGAATTCTTGTTTTTATGTTTTAACTAATTCTGCACTGTATTTTTCCTCTCTTTTCTATTTTTCTTATTGACAGCCAACCTGATCACTATATTTGAGGCCAAGGTCATACATTTAATAAATAAATACAGTATCCTCTACTAAATTTAATAGGCCAGGCAAATGTTTAAGTCTCACTGTGTCCAACAGGATTTCTGCCTAATGTGCTAAATCTCTCATTTATCACAGCAACATTTTTACTCATTATTAAGTACCTTGTTTTGTTCAGTTCATATTATGTGACTGCTTTTATTAATATTTTTAATAGATAACCATATAGCGCTCTTAGAGGAGTTGACTTCCTTTTCAGAAAACACTACTGAAAGCTCTTCCAGGAGCAGAATGTATTGGAACCTCTACAGCAATGAAATATTAACTCAAAATGCATTACTGTGGCACTTTGACTCAATTGTAAGCTTGCTTAGATTTTTTTAAAAAAAATCCATTAAACAAAGCAATAATGTTTGAAAATCCTTAAGATTACAAATAACATACCTTAAAGATTCAGACAATGGTGTTAAAGTTCCATCTCCCCTGTCTACAACCCGGAAGAAATTCAACTGGTCTCCCTCCTGGTATACCAAGAATGTAACATGTTTACTGGATGGAACCTTCTCCCAGACATCATCTCGACAGGGACCCATGTATTCTGCTATTTCCTTAATTGGGTCTTCCAAAGGAACTACCGAGAAAAGGAACACAAAGAAAAAGATTGTTTGAAAGGGCCTATGTTTTTCATCTGACCACTGAAGTGAAGGACATATTTATGGAAACTACTGAAGTGTTTCTAATGAGCCAAATTAAGTATTATGCAACTTTATTAAATAAATGTTATCAAACTGTAGCCACAAAAAAACTATTTTAAAATACCTGGTTTTAGTTTGCTGAATATCAACACACTTTTCTACTGCTGCTTTACAAAATTAAATGTTTCTTTTTTATATTAGGAAACTCATTAATGACAAAAGGACCATAGTGAGCTATATAACAGTCTCAGGTACAGACCAATAGCATCAACACCCTTTCCATAACTGCATAACTCTCTGGAAAAGTGTTAGTATGATCCACAGAATCTGGTATTTTCTCCAAGTCTTGTGTTTCCGTCTCAAGCATAAAACTGACATACTGAAATGAATAAGAACAAATTTATTGTCACAGCCATGAAAACATGTGGCAAAATTGTATGCTATTTTCTCCTATAAATCTTGATGAGATAAAAAATGTTGTTTTATTAATGTTCACTAGAACATTTTCTCAATATATCAGTTTCAGACTTACGGTGTGAAGTCTTTAGCATAGAACTAGAACAGATTCAGTGGATGGAATGGGCTGTAAGAATAATCTTGAAGAACAGGAGGAAGAGCCACAACCAAGACAATTGTCAGATAAAAGAAATGTAAGTCCGAAGCAGAAATGTAATTTAAGAAAACATCCCAGAAATAACCCTCCCTGGTTTTCTTAAAGATAAAGTGGGGGGGGGAGGTGCATTCAGACTTGCAAGTTTCTGTTACTGTCAACAGAATTACAATATTTTATCTATAATAAAAGTAGTATTAGAATTCATAACTTGGGTTTTTCTATTCTTATCTACTGTGAAGGGCTGACAAAGACATCAGATTTTTATGTTTACTGTATAGTCATTTTGAAATTCGCCAGAGCTGTAATATTTATGAGAGAACATCAGTGTGCTACACCACTACTTTTTTATAATTTGGAAGTTGTAACTTTTTTAGACAAGGCTCATAGCTTGACTGGTATACTATGGAATGCACTTTAACAAGTGAATGGAATAAGGGCAAAAATTAAATCTGATTTTATATATCTATTTTAATTAAACAGGAGTTGCAACTTGCAACACAAAGACATTTTTTCAAGGATTTCTCTATGCAATAATTAAGTCTTTAAGTTTTGGAGAAGGCCCTTAAATCCCTGTTGGATGAGAAGAGGTGTTCCTAGATTTAGCACTACTTTTCACAAATTAGAACTTCTTATCAGAGCTTATTACCTCCCCCATACTGTATGATTTTTTTTCTCCATCTCTGAATATATATAGAAAGTGAGCGAGCCCTAGATTTAGCACTACTTTTCACAAATTAGAACTTCTTATCAGAGCTTATTACCTCCCCCATACTGTATGATTTTTTTTCTCCATCTCTGAATATATATAGAAAGTGAGCGAGCCCTAGATTTAGCACTACTTTTCACAAATTAGAACTTCTTATCAGAGCTTATTACCTCCCCCATACTGTATGATTTTTTTTCTCCATCTCTGAATATATATAGAAAGTGAGCGAGCGAGACACACATGCATACATACTGATACACATAACAAGGAAGGTTGTCTTAGATTTCCATGGAATAAAATAATGGAGAGAGGGTTTTTTCTATCTCATTTTCCATGGGGGTAATTTAAAACTGGGGGGGACGCGGTGGCGCAGCGGCTTAATGACGCTGAAAGTTGCCGGCCAGAAATGGTCG